AAACAGGCTCTAATTTGACAAATAACAGATTAGGAAGAGGACAGTGATCAGCTACAATTTTTGTTCAATCAAATCAACTGAGGTCTGAGCCTCTGAGGGTAGGGTAGTGTGGGAAGCAAGTGAACGTGAAACCCATTTGGGTTTTTAATCTATGGTTCCGAATAATGACCAATCTTTCGGTATAAATTTTGATGGAATAGGAATAGGAATAGGACAGAGTCCAAATTCGAAAGGACCAAAGCAAAGCATGCTCCACGGAGAGAATTCAAGTAAACAACCAAGTGATGCCGCTATCTCTTTGAATCTTGATGATTATTTGAGACCCGTGAAAAGACATGTCTTACTATGTATTGGTAACGTTTATTCATGGGATCCACTTCCACACCAATTTGTCTATAAGGCGAGGAATACAAGAATTGCATAGAATCGTTGCTTACAAGAGTTGTATTTTCTAGGTTCCCTACCACCCGGAAACGATGTTTCTGTAATTTTCAGAACTAGGTCCCAAACCGGGGCCCATTTCTTTCGGGTGGTGGGTTTTCGTGTTGGATCGGTTATGACTTATAATAATAATAATAATAATAATAATAATAGGATAGGCATTGGATGGATCTCTCAATTCCCATTCTCTATGCGAACGGAATGGCTGCCACCGTACGTACCAGTCAAATCTCCGACCCTTTTCCCTTTTCTTTTGCTTACTTTGTTGAATCGTACGTCAGAGACACAACCGGCAACTTGTTCTTTGCATGCCAATGGTTAAACGTAATTTGAGATTGAGATAGCCTTTGTGAAATTTTAGGTGCTTTGCTTCTACAGTTCTACTTGCTTACCTATTTCATATTCTCTCGGCCTATATGTAAATTCATGTCTTCTTTGGTTCTTTGGTTCTGAGTCTGGGCCCCTTCTCTTCATTCATCACAGTCTAATTATGATTTGACGGAAGCTGAGACAGAGAAATTAAAAAAAAAAAGGGGGGGGAGAGAGAGAGATTGGGAGAAGAAAAAGGAAATTGGGTTGAGAACAAAAACAAAAGACACTTAGCCTTTAATTATGATTTGAAATGGTGTTTATCTATATTAATCATGACTACATGTCCCTTTTGTCTGCTGCTCTATAGACTATAAGCATACGGCTGATCTTTTTAAAAAAGACATTTAATTATTCTTAACATGCCACAAAGCAGTTCATAATGATGGGGATGCCATTTGTTCCCCCATTTGGACCCACATCCTTAGCCTTAGCCCTTAGCTTCTCCAAAATCAAAATCCCATTTTGTACACAAACACGATTTGGAGATGAGGATTCTGTACTTGTAATTACCATTACCAAGGCTGAACACTGAAGCCTCCAGGGTCCAGCTGCCCACCCACCTGGCGTTGTGTCATCAATGAATGAGTGGGTCAAATTGAAATGCAAATTTTAAGGAAATGGGTCAAATGATCAGACGTTCTGAAATGAAGTCGGGCACGAGTTTGTATCGTACAAAGTGTGTTTGCAGTGCGTGTGTGGAGTCTGGAGTAGGGTCAGTGTTTGGGAGGGGGTTTTTCTCTTTTCTTTTTAGGGTTTTCGGTTTTGGTTTGGGGGGAGGTTGAACGATTATTGATTAGAGAGAGGAGAGGAGAAATGGACAAGTCAGAAAGGGTACGATGAATGCGGGCGAAAAAAAGGAGGGCCAAAACCGAAGCAGCAGCAAACCACACACACACACACTCCCATTTAATAAAGTGGGCAAAAGAGTTGATGTGTAGTGTTTGTCAAACAGTGGGTAGCACCAGCCAACAGCAGCAGGAGCCGGCATGAATCTCGAGGGCTCCTTTTGACACCGACAGCCCAGTGAAATTCATCTCTGCTTCCTCCTCACGAGACGGCACTTCCCAATTTTACCCCTCCTCTAATTTACAAATTA